TAGTGTAACTTTAAGAAGGCAGGAGAATGATCTGTTGAAGATGCATGCTCCTCAAAACACTCTAGTAGAGTAGCAACCAGAGGATGAACCACCACCATCTGTTAAAACCATCTGTCTCAAAGTTAAAGATATATCATTAAGTCAATGAATGTTTCATTAGTAGGTGTATTTCAAGAGCACTACCTCTTTTTAGAAGGAGGCAGAGGGAAAAATAAGCACACATACTCAACATTATGCTTTGGTTCAGCTGAAGTTTTACCTGGAGCAGAAAAGAGGCTATTTTGAAGAGTCTCTCACTGCCACTATGAAACTTAGTCAAGAATTCTGAATGGTTCCAGCTGCAGTGGTTTCCCTCAAGAGGGGAAAACTTGTGTAAAAGTGTGCATTCAGTGATATTGCTATTTTAAGGGACTGTTTTCACACGTGATCTTCATGAAGAAATCATTTAGGATGAGACTCCTGACTGCCAATCTCACATAAGATACGCTTTGAGAGAGCAATAAACAAATTTGAAAGTTAATAAAAGAAAAAAATCATTTTACATTGACTGGAATTATTCAATATTCTGCAGTGACAATCCTGTTTTCCAATCATGCAGCAAGATGTCAGGTTCTTCAAACATATTACTTTATCTCAATATGGTAGCAGAAAATGTCAAAACCTAGCTTATGAAACTCATTACAATACTGCACACTCTAAAGTGCTGGCAGCCTCCTTTTCCAGCAAAAATGGGTTGTTTCTCCACTGCTCATGAAAACCCTTCATCTGTCTTTAAAGCGTTTGCTTTTACAACCATACTTGCTCAGCTTTTAGGATGGGTAAGTCCAACTAAACTAGAAGTGCAATTACCTAGTCTGAAAGGAGAGGCTCAGAACCAGGAATTCTGCTGGTTCAAAGGGAAGAAACAATCAGACAATAGAGATAAAGCTACAGAACTAGAATAAAGGTAGTAGCAGTATCCAAGAAGAAAAAGTCAGCAAGAATATGCTGCACTCCCTCCAAGCTTAAGGAGCACCCAGAATAACCAAGCTTATGAGCATTTTCTTAGTCTAAGCAAAGATAATTGCTAATAAAGCAGATATTGTATCGTGTAAAAAGCACAATATAGCAGGTGTTTCTAGCTTCTATGGGCACAAGCAGATTCCAGAATGTTTCAGAAGTGCTTATGCTATTTTCTTTCCATGTCCATAGCTCAAACACCAGGATCTCAAGAGACAGATCTTCAGCAGGCTTTCTCCAGTAACCTGCATAGTTTGTGTCAGATGGGGGAAAAATAGCAGGTAAAACCCAAGAGCCAACACAAGCTTTTGAAAAGCTCATGAGCTAGAGGGTATTCAAGAGAGCCAAGTAACTATGCAAATAGGCATCCTCTGCAAAGACCCATCATCGCCCAAGTACTTACTGCTATGGTATTAGATTAGTCATATTTACATTCCACTGCAGAAGTCGACACGAGCTTTGGAAAGTTCCTCCATTAGTCACATGTACGGCGACATACCAAGAAAGGAGACTTGTGATGAATCACTACAAACATAACTCTGACTTGAGCAACAGACTGCTCGAATTTCGTTTTTCTAATAATGCTGGTGCTTTCCTCCTTCCTTCCCTCCCTCCCCAGCGCCCTGCACACCACAGGGTGCCATGGAGCTTGCATGCTGCCACTGGTCTTCCAGCTGTAACCCTATGGACCAGGTGACAGCGGTCAGCTTGTCCCTGTCCCACCACTGGATGCTACCTGCCACTCCTTCAGCGGCCAACTAACAATCAGAGAATCATAGAAAATCTTGAGTTGGAAGGGACCGACAAGGATCATCGAGACCAACTCCCTGCTCCTTGCAGGACTACCTAAAACTAAACCATATGACTAAAAGTGTCGCCCAGACGCTCCTTGAACTCTGACAGGCTTGGTACTGTGACCACATTTCTGGGGAGTCTATTCCAGTGACCAACCACTCTCTCAGTGAAGAACCTTTTCCTAATGTCCAATCTGAACCTCTCCACACACCGCTTCATTCCGTTTCCTCATGTCCTGTTGCTGGTCACCAGAGAGACAAGATCAGCACCTCCTCTTCCGCTGCCCCCCTTGAGGAACTTGTAAACTCCGATAAGGTCACCCCTCAGCCTTCTCTTCTCCAAGCTGAACAAACCAGGTGACCTCAGTCACCACTCGTAAGTCTTGCCCTTGAGGCTTTTCACCATCTTGGTCGACCTCTTCTGGACATACTCTTAATAGTTTCATAGAATCATTTAGTTTGGAAAAGACTCTTAAGATCATCGAGTCCAACCATTTGATGTCCTTATATTAAGGTGTCCAAAACTGCATACAGTACTCAAGGTAGGGCTGCATCAGTGCAGTGTACAGTGGGACAATCACCTCCCTTGACCAGCTAGCTATGGCGTGCTTGATGCACCCCAGGACATGGTTGGCCCTTTTGGCTGCCAGGGCACACTGTTGACTCATGTTCAACTTGCCATCAATCCAAACACCCAGCTCTCCTTCCACGTGGCTACCCTCCAGCCTCTTGTCCCCCAGTTTGTATGTAAAAACAGGATTATCCCATCCCAGGTACAGAATTTAGCACTTACTCTTACCTACTGTCCTAGTTTTAGCTGGGACAGAGTTTTTAGCAGCTAGAAGAGCTCCGTGTTTTGGTTTTACTCAGAGGCTCGCTCTGAGAAGAATGCTGATAGCAAGCTGATGTTTGTGGTTGGAAGTGAAACTCCAAGGACTTTTCAGTGTGCCGGAGTGCAGAAAACACGGCGGGATAAGGGGGGAGCATAGCTGGGACGAGGGGGACACGATTCCCCTTGTGATTTGTGGTGGAACTTAAGATTGAGGGCCAAACTGGCCAATTAGTATTCCATATCACGCAGCGTCATGCCCAGTATAAAAGTGAGGGTCAGCCGGGAAGAAGGGCTTTTGCGCTTTGGCTCTTTTGCGCTTGCTGTGCTGTTGCTGTGTTGTTTTCCTTTCCTTTCTCTCTCTCTCTCTCTCTCCCCCCCACCCCGCCCCTCTCTATTTC